TCTTCCTTCAGCACAGCAACCCTATCAGCCGCGGCCGGTGGGGCTGCAGCTGCCTCGGCGTTTGCATCAGCAGCGGACATGGCACTCAAGGCGGGCGAACAACAGGCTTGCTCCACTCAAACTGCATGCAGTCCTCAAGATGATCCTGTGTTCTCTTTGTGCTTGCCTGTTACCTCCTTTTCACCCCTGTTCACGACCCCAGAAACATGGCTACGAGAATGTGACAAAATGGTCATGCACCGATGTACCCTGATAGTATGTCTGCCAATGTGTGCTCTGCCGCGCAATTTTTCTCCCGGCTCGCACCTCGTCACAACAGAGCCGTGTACGCGTACGCCATACGGCGTCGCTCAGGCCAGATGCTTTGCATGGCTTCTTTAGAGGGCTTGCTGCCTGGAGGCATATGCAGTGGCATATCCATAAATTTTCGCAACTCCGTATGGAGGTGCGCCGTATCGGGCGGCTTCGCCGCACCAACAGATTCAAAAGTGCGTTTCCAACTCTTGCCGGCAAAGTAGCTGGGACACTGCATGAGTTCAAAAAGCCAGGCTAACGGGTCTATCAAACCCTCACAGGAACCTGCCCTCAGTTCCTGGTACTTCCTCTTCAAATGTGTTTTCAATGGGTGGAAACCTGCTATATCTAACGGTTGGATTTTGTCTGTACATCCGGCTGGTATGTACAGGAGCTGGACACCATTGCGCCGAGCGCACACCATGGTTTCCTTTGCGAGATGTGAGGACGCAACATCCAGCAACAAGATAGGTTGAAATGGATAAGGTTTTAAGACTTTGCCTAGATCGCGCACAATCTTGGTGATGTTCTTGCAGGATGTCCAAGCACTTTTCTGACGTACTATGTGCAGCGCCGTTTGTGGCAAGCGCCGCTGGCCCCTCAGCAACTTCTGTGTCAGCTTGGTCTCAGTCCCAAAAAGGTAGTGCGGCAACTTGCCTTGAATATGCGGCGCATCACAAATGATGCTCACATAGGTCAAAGCCCCTCGCACGTCTTGTTTCCGGACAGGCATGCGAAGACTGTCATGTCGTGGCAAAGCAACGCAGCCGGGCAATTGCAGCATGGTGTAGGGAATGCTAGTTTCGTCTAAATTCAAAAACAGCGGAGTCTTGTCCACAAACTTCGTGTTCACGTAGTAGGAGAGTAACTGCCAAAAGGTTCTCACCTGACAGGGCGAAGCCGAGCAGGGAGGCTAGGAAAACATGACCACATGTGGGAGGAGGTCCGAATTGCAATGAGCTTGCCCGGCCCCATTTTTGGAGCCGGAAAACGGTCGCAAAAACACGACCGTGCTTGGCGCCTTAGCCTGCACCGTGACTGGGTCCCTGTGCACTTGTGGACGTAGGACTCGGCGCCGCAGGTTCCACTTGGCTCGGAAGCGCTGCACCCATTGATTCACATGCCGGCGAGGCGGCAAACCCTCCAGGAGGCTGCCAAACCGCGCTTTCTCCCACGTGGCATAGACATCCAGCGATAGCGGTGCTACACCGACGTGGTTGCAAGCCAGAACCCAGTTGAAAGTGTTAGCCTCTGCCAGAACAGCGGCTGCATGCCGCACTGGCCGTGCCCACGGAGTCGCGGAAGGTGAAAAAATGTGCTGCAAGTCTAAGTCTGTGGTGCTCAAAAACAAATCTTCCACCACAACCCGTGTTGTCCCTGAGGTCGGCTTGACTGCTGGCCACAGGGCAGCGAAGCGAAGCGCTAGCTCCATATTGCAGTCCGACAACACATAGACGGCAACGATCGCTTTGCAAGCAAGAGGGCTAAAACCTCCAGAGGCTGCTTCCTTCTTTGCTCGGTATCTGGCATGCTTGGCTTGCACTCCGGCCGCTCTGTTTCTGGCAAGGTCTGCTTGCAAAGTTGCAATGGTTTCTGCTAAAGCCACTGGAGTCGCCGCAGGTGCGTGAGCCATGGGGCAAGGCTGCGGCCACCTGGGTGCTGTCTTGGATGTCTTTGCATGGAAGCCTATACCCTTCTGTTGCTGGGCTGTGACTCTGTGGCATATGAATGCGAAAAATTGGTGCTGTTACAGCCATGTCCTGTGACTCATGTGGCGCTGGATCCACACCGAAGGCCCGACAGAGCTGCTGCATGCAATCTGTGAGTGATGGCTGAGCGGCGGCTGCAACAGATTCTCCATGCTGACCTAAACACAACCTCCTGGACTGCAACTCCTAGAAGGAACCCTTGCAACTCTGAGAAACAATGCACGTGCAGCATGCACCCACATGGCAGAAGCACAGTACTTCATAGAAACAGCCTCTTGCCACATTGATATGTTCCGTCTGTGGGGAAAATTCTGAGCTTGACACCCACCGTTCCCTTTGCCTTAAATTGCCAGGTGAAAAGGCACAGCACCACAAATTTTGGCAAATATTGGCAAAGTCTGGCATCTGAATAGTAAATAGTTTTGCAACGTTGACAACAACAATAACAACCTCAAATCAAAGGGGACAAGAGGGTGCCTTGTTTGCCAGCTATAGGTTCGATAAACAGTCACGGATTCCCGCAATAACAGTCGATATATAATCAGCGGAGATCATGTGTGTGAAAAACAACATGTTTCAACAGTTAATCACTCCAAATAAATCCAAATGACATGTGCGTTTTACTTAGATGTACATCAGACAAAGGACACCGATTGGGACATATCGAGACGTGGCACTCTGCTGCTCCATCCTCACTGCGCCGCCTTCCACAAGGCACGGTAGCTCTTGCAGCAGGGCCTCCACCTCCAAGGGCAGTAGGGCCCCTGGGAGGACAGCGAAGCCGACCTGTCCAGATGCGATGGAAAAGCCGACGATGTGTGACGATTTTAAGATCTCATTGATCTCATGGCAAGATATGGCCATTGATAAATCAATGATGAATCAGTGATGAACAGTGGGTCCTCTTTGCGGCCACAAGATAACATCAAGTTTCCCATCCCCTTTGGACCTTCTATAACCTCTCAGAACACCTTAACTTAAACCCGCCTGGCTTGCAGCCACGGGGTAATATGACCAAAATAGATGATGTATGAAATATATGTACATATTATGAAATATGATTCATGCCCCTTCCGATTCACCGCATCGGAATCCCCGAAACAGTTTTCGCACTCTGCCATTCGCCGCCTGAAATGTACTATCCCTTTTACCTTCAACCCTGATAGACAACAACTGACCATGGGAGCTTGTCAAGTCTCCGGCAGCAAGACACAAAATCCAATGAAACAGCACGCCTCCAGCAGATTCTTCTGTGTGAGTGGATCCCTCGCCCAATCTTGCAGCCGAACTTGCCAGTACTCACGGTTTCCTGAGGAATGAAAGCTGAAACTTAAGAAGACACAATACAGGTCTAGAGTCTAAAGAATTCTAAAGACAAAATCAGCCATAAACATCAGGAGATGAAAGGCGAAACCGTTTTCAGGGTTTGGCGCCTCCAAAGCCAAAGCACTTCGGGCCAAAGCTATTCAAACTCAATTTCATCATCTGGACCCAAATTCATCTGAGAAAAGATAAATCCAAGTTCACACCAAGACTGCCCCAGCAAGTGGTCCCAAACAGTCGGGAGTAATACGGGGGAACCATGGGAAACTAGATTTGTTGCATCTCGATACAAAGATCCTTGAAAGGAACTCACAAGATCTCACAAGGACACACAGGATGTCACAAGGATCCTTTAGAGGACGCCGCAGAAAATCCCCACTGAGTTTTGGCGGTGACATTGAGCCACCAATAGCCACCAATAGCCACGAAACAAAATCAAGGACTGAAGTGCTTACGCCTCCAAGGCGGAATCGCGTCTATTCAAATTTGGTTTGATGATCTGGACCCGAACTAAATCTGTCTGAAATTGTGTGAATATTTTGTGGGGGTTCAAGCGAAAGACTTCGAAGTCTAACAATTTCTGTCAGCTTCCCGCAACGTCATCCAACATCGGTACAGTATGGTGCTGCCGAGCTTCGCGCTTCTTGATTGGCAGAGCTGGAACCGTAGGCCGCGCGGGCTGTTTGCATGACTTGGAACTTAGAACTGATCAATCTAGCAGAACAAATGCTGCGCACTGGTCGCACATGGCTCGTCTTGCACCCAGCGGTTGCTACTGAAAAAAAAACTGCAAGAGACATGGCTGGAGAGCAGCTGGTCCCTTGTTGGTGTCAAAACAGCACCACCCCGTCCAGCTGATATTGCCTTTCCTACTAACTCCATTTAATTCCTATATATCTCTCTTCCTTTGCACCCCTGATCCGGAATCTGTAAGACAAATGAAGATCAACTGCATTGCTACACACATGAATCCACATAATCTTTTTCACTGGACCGCATATGATCGCAACTGCAAACGCAGTGACATGACTAACAGGTCATTGAGAGTCACTGTCATTGTGCACAGGTTACGCAAAACAACACTCTGCATGTTCAAAGAAAATCCAGCACACTTCTCCAGGCTTACATGTGACCATTGCTATTTCATGCATTTTCATGCTATTTCTGCCGTGTCCCCTCAATAGTCGCCAGTTGTGTGTCGGACTTGCTTGAAGCAACCAACTTTAGCATCGGCTCGAGGATGCTGGATAGCGATCTCCTCTAACCCAATGCTTGTTCTGTGAGACGTGGCCTACACATGCCTACACTACATGCACATGCACAAGCACACCCCAGTGCACAAAACAAAAGTTTGGTCGACTGGAAAGCGTTGGCAGCTCCCCTACGACAAGCGCATCTTTGGCTGCTTCGCGAAATGCGCTTACCCCCGACGAATTCAGCACAGCATACTGGATTGCAATGCATGGCAGGCAGCGAATGCAAGTAGCTACATGCAAAAACGTGCAAAGCTGTTTGAATATGAGATCCACATCCCCCGGCCAAGAAGATTGGTCGTCCCAAAAGCTTCCAAAATCCAGTTCCTTCATCTCGATGCTTGGCCGAGGTCATTGCGCGAAAGATCATGAAGAATGCAAAAGGTTGTCCCAAAATGTCCCCAAAATCCGTTACTTCACTTCAGAAACAATGACAACAATGACATAGTTTCACATGTTTCACTGAAGCCCACCCCCTTGACTGATCAACTAGCCCGGGAGCCTGTTCCGGCAGGGCGGATTCCATGAGTTTCATCCCCAGCCAGCGCAGCATGTGCGAACCTTAGCCCAGGCATCTCCAGAGTGACATCGCAAGGCAGGCGGCCCATTGACAAAGAACAAGAAGAGAGTCAGCAGAGTGGCAAGAACATGCAAAAACCAGTCCAGTGTTCTCTCTCTCTCTCTCATGTGGAGTGCAGGGCAACAGTCTCATTGACTCATATTTACTCGTGCACAGCTGACTTTTTCCCACAAATCTATCTTCGCACGGTCTGGGCATGCAAGTGTGGACCGTGAGTTTCACAGCCCAGCCTGATTCATGCCGGTATAGTGGTATAGCTGCTACAAGTACTTAGTGCTACGTAGCTATCTAGCGTTATCTAGCGATTCGCTTGAGTGAGAACCGGAGCGTCAGACAAGAATGCATGCAAGAAGGGGCTGAAGTTGGTATTGAATATCATCCAGTGAAAACTGCTCAGATGGAAAAACTCGACATGTCATCATCCCCGATGACCTGGGAACATTGTCCACATTCTGTGGAAGTCTCGTCAACTGTGTTTTTTCGACATGCCTTCACCGGGAGGGTGCAGACCCGCAGCAGATAAAGGCCAAGAGCCATGACCACGACAAACCCAAGCAGCGGAGGCCAACTGTGGCGGTGCGTCAAAAGCACCGAAAAAACACAGACTGCAGACACGATGCCCCAGGAAAGAAGGACAAAAACAGCCGCACCTGCTTCGATCACAAAAGAAATCGGCCATTGATTGCACTGCAGGGTTAGTGCCCACATAGTCTTGCACGCCCAGAGGTAGAAAAGCATCGCTGCCCACATATATCCCAAACGCACAATCAAAACTTTCATTGCAACGACGCAAGCAAGAAATGCAGAAGGCTGCTGCTGGGCTTGCCCAATAGCATCTGGAATCCTGATGATCAAGGATGGAGTGTTCATGCTAAAGACAATGTAGATGAAGAGCTTGATGGGCATGGATTGCTCTTCCCAGCTTGTCAAAATCCGATCAGCAAATTGGGTTCGGACAGCTTTGCTGAAACTCTCAAGCCTTCCTTGCAGTTCATCAGCATCATTTCCATACCAGTCAGCAAGGCTTTGATAAATGAGATCCCGGTCACATGGGATTCTCTCTCCACTTGGCGTCTCATGGCCAGCAGAGCAGCAAGAGCACTTGCTTTCATGGATATCAAATTCTCGCAGTTGCCGGGAGAGGCTTTGCAAATTCTTTGTCAACCGCCTCCCAACCCAAGCCTGCAAAGGATATGTACTCAAGAACGTCACAGCAAGGCCGATAAGAATAACTGCTAGTACGTCCATTGTAGAGCTTGTCTGAGAGGTCTCCCAAATGAGGAGGATGAGAAGCCTGACTGCGAGCCACCAAGCCGCATGCAGGAGGATGAGCAAAGGCAGCACCACGGGTACAGTCTGCACATGCCCCTGATTGGAATGCGTTCTCATAAAAGCAGTGATTTCGTATATGCACCAAAGCCGGCCAATGTACGATTCTGAAAAGAGAATCACCAACTCTTGAGAGTGCTTCAAGAAGCCTGCAAGGCCAAGGATGCACTTCTCCTTGACTTCTTCATTGTCTTGTGGGATGCACAACTTGTCGAGGAAAGCCAGCTTTGGTGTCAAGAAAATGTCCCGAATGTGTTGCCAAAAGAAGAAGAATACGGCAAATGTCAAGTAGCCAATCGACACCGACCAGCTGTAGTTTGGCAAGGCCTCATAGGCAACCAACAAACCGAGTGCAAGACTCACAACTAGTGTAGCCAGAGCAGCTGCTCTGGAGTTGAGAAGTACCAGCAACGAAGCATATTTCAGCCAACGGGACGTCTGCCAGTCATGGCTAACAAAAATGTCATAGCTAGAGCACCGCGTCAAATGTCTAGTCGACTCCACTTTGTCAGATGTGCGGAAAGGCCTACCGCCACCAACCAAGAGGCAGCGACAAGGAACCCCTTGAACAAGTTCGGCTGGCACCTTTGGTGTCAGACTTCTTTCTGATCTTGCTGGTGAGACGACTGGAGAATCACTATCCTGAGCGATTTTGAAAACGCCCGCCATAGCGCAACCGTCAAAGTCATCGACGCCTCTTGAGCCCTGCAAATGGCAGAATAGAAAGAGCTTTACAGGATGCAAGTCGATCATTATTCATCACATCTCATGACCTGCTGGTCCAAATTTTGGCGTAGAATGTAGCGGCGTAGCGTATTGTATTCCGTATAGCAAATGCTGAAATTACATGGAATTACACTGTGAATTGATGCAAAATATTTTTAAAAAAATAAGCGGAACACACACATATATATATATCAGTAAATAACAAGAATAGATAAATAAATAAAAAAATGAATAAATGAATAAACAGATACATGAATGAATAGATAAATAAAAAATAGAAAAATAAATACATAAATGAATAAATAAATGAACAGATACATGAATGAATAGATTTAAAAAAAATAGAAAAAAAATAAATAAATAAATGAATAAACAGATACATGAATGAATAGATAAATAAAAAATAGAAAAAATATATAAATAAATAAATAAATGAATAAACGAATAGATAAATAAACAGATACATGAATGAATAGATAAATAAAAAATAGAAAAAATAAATACATAAATGAATAAATAAATAAACAGATACATGAATGAATAGATAAATTAAAAACTAGAAAAAATAAATAAATAGATAAATGAATAAACAGATACATGAATGAATAGATAAACAAAAAATAGGACAAAAAAAATAAATGAATAAACAGATACATGAATGAATAGATAAATAAAAAATAGAAAAAATAAATACATAAATGAATAAATAAATGAACAGATACATGAATGAATAGATAAATAAAAAATAGAAAAAAAGTAATAAATGAATAAACAGATACATGAATGAATAGATAAACAAACAAAAGGAAGAAAAATAAATGAATAAACAGATACATGAATGAATAGATAAATAAAAAATAGAAAAAATCAATAAATAAATGAATAAACAGATACATGAATGAATAAACAGATACATGAATGAATAGATAAATAAAAAATAGAAAAAATAAATACATAAATGAATAAATAAATGAACAGATACATGAATGAATAGATAAATAAAAAATAGAAAAAAAGTAATAAATGAATAAACAGATACATGAATGAATAGATAAACAAACAAAAGGAAGAAAAATAAATGAATAAACAGATACATGAATGAATAGATAAATAAAAAATAGAAAAAATCAATAAATAAATGAATAAACAGATACATGAATGAATAGATAAATAAAAAATAGGAAAAAAAAAGAAATGAATAAACAGATACATGAATGAATAGATAGATAAATAAAGAATAGAAAAATAAATACTGTAAATAAATAAATGAATAAATATATAACTACTCAAAGTCTGTGAAGGTGACACGCCAAAGTTGTCCAAGGAGCCCCTCCCGGGATTTCGCGGCTTGCTCGGAGTTGTTCCAGCCTCTCGCATGTCCAGCGCTAGTCCCTGCAATGCATTGCAAAAGTACCGTGGCACACATGGCATTTCAATGCGTTTCACATCGTTTCACCATGTCGGACACAGCGCAAGGCCAAAAACATCACTGCTGCATCAACTGCAAGCACGCCAAAGTCTACAATTCTTATCACAAGACCATTTCGGGAAAAGAAAATCAGTCTGGGCATGATATTGACCCCAGATATCATGTCTGGAGTCATCAAATGTTGCCGCTGCCGGTGACCTGCTGGAGGCGGCTCCGAAATGCTCCGAAGCTCCGAAGGCCTTCCTGAAATTCGCTGCTTGGTTCGCTGCTTGGGCTGGCAGGTTTCACCGGGTTCGCCCAGGGCTCTGCAAGGCACAGCTGTCGAACTTCTTCCATGGCCTGAAGCCAAGAAGGTCCACCACCGACGCAAGGCTGGGCGATTGATGGGCGTTGGGTCACTACAATCAGTAGTTTCCCATGGTTTTCCAGGTTGGCAAGTGTGGATCTGCAAAATGATAACATCTCAGAAGATCTCAGAAGCTATTGAGGTGTGCCACATACAAAGTGTAAGAGCGTGACGCACCTGGTGAAAACTATCATGCCAATGCCTGTTCTTGGGCTTGCAGCTGTAGCTAGAAATGGGTCTGGTGAAAACTGCAAACAAAGAACGACAAGCGGACTGACTCTACAAGTAACCATGATGGGAATGGCAACTCAAGCGAAACACATAAAACCGGTTTGACTAGTAGTTGCACTGCCTAGCTTCTGCAATGCGGCCAGCCTGCCAATAGCATCAGCTGCAGGATTGTCTGCCCGTTTCTGCTGGCGTCACGTTACACAGCGGTGAAAGCCGTAAAAAATCGCCTCAGGGTGGGCCAGCGCCACTGGGAGCCAAGCAAACTCCATCGAACAGCAATAAACCACAATAAAGAGCAACATGTTTATCATGTGTTTATCTATTCCTCATTCATTATCATTCGATCATTCATCCATGGCATGATTTCATTCAAATCCATCGCTATCCAATTCATGGCTTCCTCCTGGGCCATCCGGCTGACCGGAGGTGCTTCCCTGCTTGCCGCGAATGCCCTGAGAACGCAGGCAAACCCGCGCTGCGTACAAAGTCACAAATCAGGTGACATCTGATGACCAGTTGAAATATGGTGAAATATGCCATGACTAAGTATATACCTTGCAATTCCCACTTGGAATCCTCGGATCTGTTCTAGCACGTTTTTGCACTCTGCCATTCGCTGCTATAATTTCTAACCCTTTTACCAACCCTGATAAACCGAAATCTCAGCAGCAAGACACACGTTCCAATGAATGGCGCGCCTCCAGCAGATCCTTCTGCGTGAGTGGATCCCTGGCCCAATCTTGCAGCAGAGCTTGCCAGTACTCACGGCTTCCTGGGGAATGGGAACTGAAACGTCGAAAAAAATGCATTGGAAAATTTTGTTGAAAATCCCCATTCGGTGTTGGCGGTGACGCTTAGCCCCCCACAAACTAGACCCAAAAGAACAAACCAAAAACTGACGTGCTTACGGCTGAACGGCGGAACCGCTCCAGACTCCGGGGGAGAGCGCTCTTACAGTTTCTAAGGGCCCTCGAACATGCCAAGTGCAGCCCTGACATATCCTGGCATGCTTAGGCCTCCAAGATCCTCCAAGGATCTCCAAGGCATCAGCACTCCGGACCAAAAAGCAATGTTGGATGATTGATTCCTCATCTTAAGTTCAATGAAGCATGTTTTCATGTATTTGCATAATCTCAGCCCCAACCAATCTACGAAATGGCGAGTCCAAGCTCAAAAAATTGAACATTTCCCAAGCAGGGTATAGAAGATGCTCACAACGAATTGGTTTGAAATCTCCTTGGGCTTACGGCAGTTTCATGTTTATCTTAGCTTCCTGCAACATCAGTATGGTGCTGCCGAGCTTCGCGCTGCAGCTGCTTGACCAGCAGAGCTGAAAACATAGGCCACGTAGCCTTTTTCCATAGAAGCTTGGAGCGTAGAAAGGCGCTTAGGAATCTTGCGCTTAGTCCAGCAAGGTCCGCACACGGCTTGTCCCGCACCCAACAGATGCTGCTGAGCAAAAAACTGCAGCAGACATGGCTGGAGAGGGTGCAACTGATCCGGTCCTCAGTGGTTCCTGTTTTGATCTACCGTACCTTCTGATATCTTCTGATGACATGCTCAAAGCATCTCACAACCGTTGCCTGTTGAGAACACCCCCTCAGCCGACCCAACTGTTAGTAACTGATCATCCGAGCATCAGCGGCTACTGCCGGTGGACACCCACAGCATGCAGCGATCGCTGTGTTGTACGTAATTACGTCTGGTGATGATGCAACCTGCCGCGTGGCAAACGGTTCCAAAATGTCTCAAGTCCTTTTGAGAGGGGATGTTGAACTATAGGTTGAACTAGTTGCCTTGCTAGTTCCTACAAGACCCTACCAGTACCAGCTTCCCAACGCCGTGAAAGGACATGTTTTATGACTTTGCCGTGAGGTGCCCATGCCTTCCACAGCTGCAGGGCGGTGCTCCAGCGCTGCGCCCTGTCACATGCTCCAAGTACAGCGTTGACACCTCGGTAGCTGACTCTTTGCGAAAAACATCAGCAGATCGATCATCTCAAGGCTCCAGCACATTCCAACATAATAACCGCATTAAAGAGATGATCCAGTAAAAGCACAGGCGACATCTGTTTTCACATGTTTTCATTATCTCACTCTCCCCCGAAATCGCTCATTTCCCACGACATCCATGACCCACCAGTCCCACACAGGCACCAAATGGCACCAGGTCACTGCTCGCCGCGGGCTGCGGCTGTAGCAGCGCCAAAGCCTCCGCCCAGCGCAGGCCACGTCCTAGCGCCGCCAGCGCGGCGTTGCGCAACCGGAGGTCCTGGAGCTCGACCTGGGCATCGTTGAAGTGGTGAACCCTTCGGGACCGGGAAACCATGGTAAATCATTTAAGGCTTCCCATGAGGCTTCTTTTTAACCTTTCCTTGTTCTATTTTGTTCTCGGATGTTCTCGGGTGATCGGGTGATACAGTATCTTAGTAATTCTCAGATCTCCATTTAGATTTGAGTAACATCGAGGATTCATCTGTCTCAGCTTGGGGCACTGCTGCTTAGTGCTTGCTGAGGGGCCGGAGTTTCCACCAATGCCAGAAAAATGGCCTGCTGCCATCGCGTTGCCCGAGCAAGTGCAGCAACTTTTGAGGTGCGTTCTGCAAGGAACCTGGCACATGGTGGACAGACAAATCTGCTTCCCTCCAATCCCTCCAACTTGAGTTACAACTGGCAGATGTGACATCACTGGAAATATATACAAACTATCACAAACTTGCGCACCAGTGTGAGCAATTCTTCACTCTCATTTGTCCTGCCTTTTTTCCGAGCCCATCGAGAGCTGGACATGGCGCCAGGTGCGAGCATTTCTGCTAAGCAGGATGGAAAAACAAAATGAAGCACCTTCCACTGTGGAGAGCGATGTGCCCTGGGAAACGGAGACTAGGCCAGGTATTCTTGGACCATTTTGGAGTGATTCTGAACCCTGTGAGGTTCTTCTGAGAGAGTCTTGGACCGAGAGTGCGACAATCCCAATTACAAGCGTCATCAAGTTAAGGATGCCGTCAAATGCAAACTTGTGATCCCTGAACATTTGGGACCAAGTGACTAAGTCGGTTAATTTTGTGATTTCTCAGAACGCATTCGAAACAACTGGTGAATCGGTGAACCCGAGTGAACCCATCGCCAATTGGACCCATTGGAAATTGATCGGCCAATGATCAACCGCGGCCATTGAGACTCGCGCAGAAGGCCAAGCCACCAGCGCGATGGGAGAGCCTGACACGTGTCTCCAGCAGGACCTTAGCAGTGGAAAGTGAGGCTGCTGAACAGTCTCGATGCTACTAGAGGTTAAAAGGTTTAAAGGACTAAATGGACCGAATGTCTTCGCTTCGTTCTTAAAAACTAACCCACCATCATTCATCAGTATGCAATTTTCATCCCTGAACACGACTTTAAATGAAGGAAGCAAGACCTCTTCTGGTCTTCCCCTTCCATGGCCCCTGCATGCGCCAACCCATGGCGCCGGCAAGACTTTTCCCTTGCTCCCCAGAAAGCACGACGCACAGTCGGCTAATTTGGGGCACGCCGGCTGCACAAACAGTTTGCGAGCGGCTAGTGCATTTCCAATTTCTTTGCAACTAATCCAAGCAGCCTATACTGCACCCTATTCCTGCATATGCCTACTCATCTCAGATCGTCTCCGCAATGATCATCTCAATCTTCTCATTCCTGGCTACAGAATCTGCATACTGCAGCAACTGCACCAAGAAAATCCAAGAAATATGGATCAAAAATGATCAAAACCAAAGCAGCTCCCTGGCCTTGGATTCGACGCTGGGAGCGCGTTTTGTGAGGACTTCGCAGTAGATGTCCCGCCAGGTGTGTGGGATTTGCTTGAAACAACCATCTTCGGCATCGGCGGGAGGAGCGATCTCCTCCCATGCAATGCCTCCACAGGCAACACTTGGCAACACATCCAAAGTCTTGTCATGTTCCGAAAAAAGGTTTCATCTCATGCCAGCCTGGGAGCTCCGCCACGACCAAAGCATCGTTGGCTGCTTCGCGAAACGCTCTTACCCTCGGATGATTCTTGGTCCATATACCCTGCCTGAATATCCCTGAATGGCAATTGATGACATGGATGTTCAAACCACGGCAAGGACTGCTATTAGGCCATTGATCGAACAAGTTCCTGACACGCTGTTGTCCATTGTTGTGGTGGTGGGGAACAAACCAGCTACATGCAAAAGTGTGCAAATCTCTGACACAGTGATGTCAACATCCAGGAACACTGGTTCTTCCCAAACCATTCCAGTCCCTTCTTCTTTCGAAGTGTTGCCAGCCCTTTCTTTCAGCCCCGTTAGCCCAGCGGCATCTGTTCCGGCAGGGTGGGCTCCATGAGTTCCATCCCCAGCCAGCTGCTCAGCTTGTACAAACCTTAGTGGCATCTCCGACATCGCAAAATCAGAGACAGCAGAGCAAGAATATGTAAAAAATGTAAAAACGAGTCCCTCAGTCCCTCTCCTCCCTTTGGTTTTTACATGTCTTTACATGCCTATATGGGGAGTGTGGGGGCCATGTGGGGCCAGAATTATGAGCATCTCATGGGTTCTCACAGCCTCACAGCGCAAACTTTTCGATCCCCTCTTGCAATTCGCAGCGGTGCACGACTGACTTTTTCGCAAAATAAAACTTGGATCAGCCTTTGCCCAATCTGCGCGCCTGGCTTCTCTGAGCATGCAAATAATGAGAGGCAACCTCCAACAGCATGTCAGACAAGAATGCGTCAAGCCCATCTTGTCTTTTTTGAGGCTTTG